GACGCACTTCCTGTGGGTGTTTGCTTCAGTGTCTGCGCTCAGAAAACCGAACCGAATTGAGTTCTCTCTTGCGTCGTCAGATTTATCCATATGTCTGCTCTTCTCTTACTCCCACATATTGACATTTTTGAACGTTTTATGCGACGTGCAGCAAGTTTATGTTAGCTTATGTCCCGCCGGTTCATATGAATCGCATCTAACCTCCGAACCGCGCAGCAGATTCGTTCTGAATGAATCTCTTCCCAAATCGTCCCTCCCTAACATTTTCGTCTCGTTTTATTCGTTGACAAAAATGTCAATAGATTTACGTCATAGTTTTTGTCATTCAAAAAGAGTTTTCAACGTCAAAGTGTCTCAGTGAGGAAACCCCAGCTCTCATATGAAGGCCTAAAGAAATCCTCTAATTGAAAAGTATATACTTTAAAGAAAACGTGAGGCACAAAGCATGTTCTGTAGATGTGAAAAAATGTATTTTGCAGTAAATCCATCCAATGAACACATGCACTCATTAAGTAATTAGTAGGGCTTGTTAAGAGCATCTATTGTTCCTAATTAGGTTAAGTAGTTTGAACAACAGATTACTGGAAAAAAAAATTGGTGTAGAAACATTTTTTTCACCAACAATTGGTGTAGAAACTCAGAAATTGCAAGTAAATTTCACAATCATTTACAAAGAAATGGCAAGTAACACATTGAATTAAACATGACATTTTGAAAAAAGACACACACAAAAAAATAGCGTCAACAGCAATATAAAAATATTAAATAAAAGTCCAACAATAATAATCACAATTGTCATATTTGAAAAACAGATCCTATTGATAAATTCAGTTCGAAAATGTCACTTTCCTTGATCCATTTTCTTATGTTATAGCGCCCCCTAACACTGTAAATCAATGAGATTTGGCAGGTTTACTCAGACTGTCCTGATGTACATTTGCACCATTTTCTGTGAAGTTTGGACTCTGCATAAACAATATACAGGTCAATTAGTCATTATGGGCCACATTTAAAAAATTTTACTGACTCCAAACTTGGAAACGTAGTCTACATTTAAAGACATTTCATATCAGATGATAAAAGCCAGAATTTATTTTATTTTTTATTTTTTACGTTAAACCACCCTCTATTGCTGTAAATTAATGAGATTTGGCAGGTTTACTCAAACCTTCCTGATGTACATTTGCACCATTTTTTGTCAAGTTTGGACTTTGTATAAACAATATACAGGTCTTTTAGTTATTATGGGCCACATTTAAAAAAATGGTACTGACCCCAATCTTATTTCAAGTGATGAAGGCTTTTGAATGTCTGAGAGTAATCAGTGTTGATCACTACTGTAAGGTTAACGCTGCCTGCTTTAAATGTTTCAAAATGATTATCAGTTGAAAACATTTGTTAGAAATTTTGAAAAGTAATCAAATATGATCAGTTACATGACTTTAATAAAGTAATTGAAATAGTAACACTACTTATTACATTTTAAACAGGGTAACTTGTAATCTGTAACCTTACCAACACTGATAGGATCTATCCCTTTAATTCAGTCAGACTCATTAGATCCAGGGGTTTTTCATTCTTGGCATTCATCCAGATAACTGGAATATTAAAAATGATAATCAAGTATTGATAGACATGTGCATTTTACATGCCAAAAGGCTCATTGCCATTTATTGGAAAAAGACAGAAAGGCCTACCATAACTCGTCGGTTAAGAGAAATATCTTCATGCATTGCAATGAAAAAGATAACCTATATTCTTAACTCTTTCCCCGCCATTGACGAGTTATCTCGTCTTTTA